TTAAGTAAAAAAAAATTGCTAAGTGCTTTACCATAATCACTAAAAAAATCAGGCTTAACTGACAATCAAGGGCAAGAAAAAAGAAGACTGGGTAAGTACTTTATTTCTTGTTTTTCATATTTATTCTTTATTTATTATTATAAAAGTAACAAATTAAAAATATGGATCTTTTTAAGTTATATAAGACTAGATTAGGTAAAATAATTAATAATAATAATATAATTAAAATTGTTCATGAGGCACGCACGCGAGCAGGTCGTGGGTAATGTAATTCAATAGTGTAATGTGAGCTGCACGTTCCCCGAGTGATTTACAACTTATAATAACACGGATAGCAGTTAGACACGGTTCATAGGGCAATAAAACAATAAAATTTAATTATAAATACATGTATAATGTTACAAACTTAGAGCTACTTAGGATAAACGAATGTAGTTTCAGGTCACAATTTGAAGTCACACCAGAAAGAAAAGAAGGTTAATTTAGGTTTATTTCAATTTTTTTTGGTGGTTATGAGGTATGTAATTTGATCAATTGTGAATTGTTATCTCATTGATTCATGTGTATTGTTTCATATTTTGTTTTTGGTGAATCAGTACAATCAATTTCTTTTTATAAAACATTATAAAAATAAGCAACTACTTCATTTAAATCTTCTGCTTTCATTCAGAAGGTCAATGAAAGAATTCTATGATACTTTCATACTGAAGAAATAATTTCCTTGTTACCTGTTTTACTGCTTCTGATCCTTCATGCAATGTGCTATTTCCTGAATCAGATTGGCTGCTGATTTGTTGAGATCCAAATACTAATTCAAAGCCAAGACTACCACAGTTTTTAGCTGAACTATCACCTTGATTACTTGCTTCGCCACTGAGAACAGTCTCCTTATTACCTGACACTGCAGAATTTGCTAACAGCTTTTGGTTACTTAAGTCTTGATAAGAATTACTAGCCAAATTTTTTTCAACAGATTCTGAATTAATCATCAACTTTTCTTTAAATGGATTAGTTTTATCTTTTTGTTCTTGAACACTATTACAGAATCTCTGTGTTTTATTCAAATATTCAACTGTATCAGTATTATTTGATATTTCTACACCAGTTATATCAATTTTTGACAAAATGTTTTCAGAAGTTGGAATAGAGATGAGTTGTTCTCTTATACTAATGTCGTAAATGTTGGCTGAATCAGCTACATTTCGATTAGTTCTGCTGTTATCATTTAATGCATCTAAGTATGTGACAACAGATGGATTAGATATATCCTCAGTAGTTACAGCAAGTCTATCACCTTTACTTGTATTTATAGGTTGATATGATTTGTCTGGAGTAACAGCATTAATAAGCTGATCACCTATTCTAGTTTCAAAGTTTTCCACCTGAATGTTATCTAATAAACTAGTGTGGAACTGATTTTCTATATTTATATCAGTATTATTTCTGGCTGGGACAGCACAACCATTTTGATCAAATTTACCAAGGTCAGTTGTATTGAGTCTGTCACCTTCACCCAGCTCAGTTTTAAAAGTTTGGCCACTTATATCAAATCCAATGTTATTATGGTGAAATGAACTTAAGTCACTGTTACTGGGCTGATCTGCAGTTACTTGAGGATTAGCATTATTAAGATCAACAATTATATCTGGTTCAATACAGTTATGGTGGCCAACATCTGTATCATTCCCACTGAGATAAATAATAGAATTTGGTTTATTTGTAATTACATCTGGCTGATTTAAGTTAACGTCAGAGAAAGCACAATGTGTAGAGTCCCAGTCAATATGGCTATGTAGATATGTACTAGGTTCACTCACAGCTGAGAATAAACCAGTTTTGTTGAGTTTATCTTCACCAAGATTAGTACCAGAATCTTCAGCAATACTTTTGGCTACAAAACTAGAAATGTTATCAGGGGTTTCCAATGACTCAACAGTGACTGAATCACCACATAACTGATGTGAATATCCAAGTAAATTTTTCAAACTAGGGGCACCTAATAAGATAGGTTTTTTATCTATACCCCTGGTTGAATCAACAGAAAAATTAGTTACTTCTGAAACTAAATCTACAATATTCTGAGCTCTTCCCAATGAGGCTGGCAAACACTGTTCTCTAACATTAGAACTCAAAACAGAAAGTTTCTGATTTTCAGAGATTGATGTATGTGGGGGAATAGCAGTACTTTCTCCACCTGAAGAGTTATCAGATGATCTGCTAACAACTGCTGACACAGGTTGTTTTTGGCTTTCTTGCCCAAGATCCGTTTCTTCTGAAGAAAGGTTGGGTATTTCTAACCTTTTCTCAACAGCTACTGGATGTACTACTCTGTAAGAAATATTAATCACAGAAAATAAGTTAACAAGAAAAAACCTTATATGCAAGTCTTCAATAAGCGAACTGTACAGCTTTTATTTTAACAGTCTGAAGTTTTTAAACTGTCTAAGTTACATGATATACTTTATCTTAGATATTTTCTGACCTAAAAAGCTACGTCTTAAAGTTCCATGTCTGTCACATATAAAAATGATTTTATATTACAGATGTAAGCTTCCCACAAAGTTAACAATGCAGCAGGTGTGTAAATGGCTTTTAAGTCAGGCAAGCATAAAAACATGTGATTGATACTTGTTTTTTCTCAATTCTGTAAAAATGTGATGTTAAAGACAATTTTACAGTTGTATTCTTTGTTCATATTTCATGTTAAGCAAATGTACACATACTTTTCATTTTAACTTCCGAGATTATCTCATATACCAAGCTATTTAAAGAAATAATGGACTTTAAATATCAATACTACTCGACTAACTTAAATTGCAACTTTCTTTTATTACTTTCTAATGAAATGAGCTATTTGCATCATTAAGAGATTGGGTTCATGCACTTCCCACAGCAAATTGTGCCCATCAACTTTCAGTTGTGAATCTTTTGTCAGGATGGTTCAAGTCCTAAAGCTGACTGTTTATCCAGTCTTTTCACTTAACCAAACTGCATGAAACTTAGAATACACACTTATTAAACAGTATCTAGTTTTGGATTAAAAAATTGTATGATTTAGTATTTCTATTACTTTTTAGTTTGCGAAATTTCTAAACTTATGTATGAGAATGGGGAAATAAAAAAAAAGGCTTGGAGGCTACACCCTGTTCCACCATGGAGCTCAGTTTCAACAAACCAGACAAAAAATGAATAGCTTAAAATGAAAATATGATAATATATTTCTAAATTCAAATAACTATCAAAAGTTATCATTTTATCTAACCAAGCCCATTGAAAATTTTGATATCCTTGTCAATTACTTTAATCCTTGTATCATCATTTCTTTAAATAGATTTCACTACAACTTTTTTCTGAATACACATTTTCCTACCATCATTTAAACAATGTCAGTTGTTTGATATTACCACTTGGAACAGTCAAGTTTCACTTACATCGATATTTTAGTCTAAGTTCATTCATCATTGTCTGGACATTTTGAAATTTGGCTAATCATAAATGTGGTAGGTTTAGAAGGTGAAAATAATTGAAAACATTAAAAAAACAATTCCCTTTATCTTGGAATTTCAATTTATTTATTGTTGATAAGAAAGTTCCATATTATTTATCCAGTCAGTTTCAACTTCATTAACGTATCTTTTGTAGAAGTTGCCACTTCTAGCTAAAAATCACATATAAAACATGGATAAAACTGACTAAAATTTAATGGTGTTCTAGGACACTTCCTTTCAAAATGGCATCACCTTTAACAGGCCAGGTATCATAATTTTTGCCAACAATATTCTTGGTAGAAATACAATAATATGTACAATTTCTTTCATTAAGTTTTTGTTGTTGTTTGAATATGATAAACTTATCATTACTATTCAATAAATAAGTACTTGAGTCATCAGAATTGCAGAAGAAGAACATTTTTGTAGCTCTCAAACATATATATTGTAACAAAAACATTTTCAGGAATGAAAAGAACATCTAAAGAAAGTATAATTAATTTCTAGACTTGTGCTTTGTTCCCGAGTTTTCTAAACTTCCCACTTGATTCCTTTGTTCACCACTATAGGAGCTCAGGGTAATTAGTGTCTCAAGAAACCACAACTTACTGCTAAAACCACTTTATTTACTCTACACTGATGTAAATAGTATATAATCTGCTCTTTTAAACATTGGCTATTGTTAAAGTGTTCCATACGTAATTGTTCAAATCACACACTGTGACATCATTAATAAAACCACTAACAGAGAAGGAAAGTCAGGAGAGAAATAAGACATCAATAACTGCAATTTCAAGGATGTGTTTGGTTGTGGATATTTTTGCAAGGCTACTCAATGGGTATCTGTGCTAACCATTCCTAATTCTGAAGTGACAGACAAAAAGAAAGGTAGTTAATCAACAATATCCACTTCCTGATCAAATAATTGGATCTGAATGTTACCAATATCCCCAAAGTACAAATGGGCCATGCTTGACTATTTTTAAGGGATGAGCTTCATAGCAAACATACCTGGATTTTTTTATACATTTTAGTTGGTACGTACAGTTTTTAGAATCAGTGAAGGGTAGGACATGAAAAACGTTTTCACTGCTGCTAACTAAGATTGATAAAATGAGTTACAAAACTTCATGGGATTTTTGTTTATACCAATATCCAGTTGAATGTTAAGACAATTACATATACTAAGATACATTTATATATGTACTTAAAGCAATAATTACTCAAGACAGAGTAATTACTCAATTCAGAAAGAAAGGATTAAAAACCAATTTGCCTCATTAACAGAATAATAAGATCTAAGAAATTACATTCTTGCTGCATTAAAAAGCTGATTCATCAATATTTTCAGAATTAGCAATATCATTCTATTTCATATTTTTATTTTGTTGTTCTTCATCAATGAAAAATAATTTGTAGCATTTCTTAGTTCATTAGATAAAATGAAAAAGATATTCATTTACTTTTCATTGCTATTTCTATATTGATCACAATAGTACATTTTATTTTCAGTTTTCTATAGCTACACCTCAAGATGACTAGTAAGATAAAGAATTATTTCTCACCTTTCTAATGGCAAATTTTCTATGACTTCATCTAACAGATTTGTTATCACTTGTATGTTTTCCTGGTGATCCTGAGATGTCACATTCCTTTCTTTCCACCTTTCTGCCTCATCCAATTCTCTTACAAATTTGAGCCATTCTGGACTGCTTACATTGCTTGGTTTATCTGTAGTCTGAAGATTAACGATGTACACACACACACATATATATGTATATAATACATATAAACTACTTACAAAATAACTTTTTAGATATAATTTTTCACTTTTTTTATATATTTGACTCAAAATGCATATGACATAGTATTTATACATTTAATTTCACAACTGTAAGTCCTGTTTATCCTTTAGTCTTGAGTCCAAACAAATTTTCAATTTCTGAGCCAATATCATGTGTTGAATAATGCCTAAATTCTGAGAAAATACAAAAATAATCAACTTATACAGTATTAATTTTTGAGAAAATAAAGAAAAAACTGTTCAAAGAAAAACAAATCACATAGAAGATTATTCTTTGAAATTAGTCTGAACACTTTTCATCATCTAAGTACATGTACAGACACCCATTATTTTTGCTAAGCCAAATGTATGAAATCGTTAACTTATGAAGTTGCATATACATTCTGTGGATCAAATGCATTTAAGTAAAAGGCTCTTCTGAAGTTTAAAATCAGTATTATTTCAAACAAATGGCAGGTCTATGTTAATACTGGTTATAACAAATGCATGTGCAAAAAAGAGGAAAGTACAATTTCTTTACGAGACCTACTAATTCTTGTTAGTTTGGTTTTGTTATTTAATATATAATCAGTCAAAAATCATATTCACAAATGATAAAGTCAATGCACACAAGATTACTGACACTTCAGCTGGATTTAAACTAGTGTTTCTGTTGGAGACTATGAGATGGCTGAGCATTTAAATGTTTTACTCTCTTCTGTTTTTATGAGAGATGCTATTAATAATATTTTTGACCTTTAGCAAGTTATAGGAAAAATTTAGATTGGTCTGAATTATAAACATATTAATCTCTTGGTGGTAAAAAGTACTCAAAGTACCAGGACTAAAGCAAGGTTTTTTCTCTCTTTTAAAGATTAAAGATCAGATAAGCAATCTCTTTCAATTTTGGTAGATGAACAGAGAGTTGCTTATTTTATGTATATTTTTAAGGGGAAGGGGGTATAAGAGTTGCTTTGGAAATTATACACCAGTTACCCTTACTTTTGTAGTGGGAAAAATTCTAAATAGTCTGATAATATGAAAGCTTTACAGCATCATTTAGTGAATTATGATATAATTGAAAAACAACACGGATTTATTAAAGGGAAATTCTACCTTACTAACCTGTTAATTTTTTGAAGTTGTTGCTTTAGCAAATTTTGATACTTTTTCACACATTGCTATTTTTATTGATTTTAATCAAAATATTTAGTTAGGTAAAGAAATCATTTTGATTTTTTTGCAGAAAATCATGATTAATATGGTTAATTTCATTAAAACAATTCAGGATATTTAAAGCCATTTTCATCCGAGTAACTCCAGGTACTCTGCTAGTTCATTGTACATTAAAAGAGGTAATTATATCTCTATGCAAATAACTACAAGTCACACTTGGAGTAGTGTGGACAGTTTTGGTTTCCTTATCTAAGAAACAATATTGATTATTGGAAAGGAAAGAGTTCAGAAGAGGGCTACTAGGATGATTCCAGGAGTGGAAAGTAATCTTCTTATAGGGTTAGGTTAAGATCTCTCAACTTATTTTCGAAAAGAAGGGTAATAGGTACTCTTATTGAAGTATACAAGATTATATGGTGGATAAATGTGATAAAGATCTCCGATCTCTTTGTAATAATTCTAAACACAAAAGAATGAGATAAGTTTAAGGTTTGTCAAAGATAGGATAGATAAGACTAGTTGGGACAGCTTATACGATATCTTCTCATGGAAGAAAATTTCTGTAGCTTTAAAAAAGGTTTAATTTAAAATGCAACCACTTCAAGCAAAAAGAATGTCTCAAGAACCTATAAAAAAATTTCTACCCTGGTGTACTCCTAAGTTTGAATGCCTTTGGTCGATGCTATAGGAGCTCAGACTAGCAACTATTCCACAAAACCATAAACTATTGTTTAAACCCCCTTCACTTTAAAAGCTAGTGGTTCTAATGTTTAGCCAGTGATCACGAGAGACAATGGTATTTTATTTCTGTTGCTGATTCAGGCATGGTTATGAATATTCAGCCCAATTGTTACAATGCTGAAAATTATTAAAAAAAGAAAGAGAACCTGACTGCAAGCACAAGACGTATATGAACATTGATCTAAAATTTGACAGTATAATTTAGCAAACATGGAAGGCTAGACCTGCAATAGCAAACTACTCAGATGAAAGAAATTTTTTTACTGAATATTATTAAGTTTCATGTATCCAAACAACACCCACAAATACAAAAGTCTTTTATTTATAGAAAACTATAACCATAAGTTATAAAATGATCTTGACCAAAATACTGTTAAAATATCATGCTACACCCGATAGCAGTAACACCACTGTTTATATGACTTACAGGGAGATTAAATACTTCATTTCATAAAATAATGTGAAAATAAATATTTTAATGAATATCGAACACAAGTTAAAATTGACTGGATATATAAAATTAAATTTTCTAATGTACAGTAAAAAAGTAGGACAAAAGAAAGTATCTTTAGTTTTTTCAAAAGCTTTTAATTTTGAAAATTTACACAAATAGTAATGAAGGTTTAATGAATTTAGTTTAGTACTTTTATTATAAAAATACAAGAAATGGGTGAGGTGCTTTTTACACCCCCATTATCTGACAGGCTTAAAAAATATGTCATAGAAAAGATGTTTCCTGTAAATATTTCATGTCTGCTAACTAGTTATATCACTGAAGACCAATTAGCATGAGACAATTTCTGTATGACTTATGACTTGCTTCATGGAAACTGGCCTTTATAATGGCACATAACTTGTGAATCAATTGTTTCACTTGGTTGTTCAGAAGTAATGGTCTTAATTTCCAAGAAGACAGAAAATGACATAAATGTCAAGTGTCTATGCTTGAGGCATTTGTTTTCAGTTGTTGGGAATAAATCTGTTATAAATCATGAGTATATTCACCTATACATTTTTTTTCAAAACATGCCACCAAAATCTGATGAATCAATACTGTTGTTAGACATAGCTTCAGGTACTGTCCTTCAGTGTCAGAGACACCATGACATCCCCAACAGCTCCATAATGAGGGACAGAAGTATCATGCTATGTGAAAACTGTCCACAACTGGGCTGTAGAGTTGAAATTGACTGGTCATAAGATAGTACCAAGAGGCAAGCAAGATATAGTCAAGACTATTTGATGCCAAATACATTAACCATACTTCCTCAGTACAGTACAGTATGTTGTTGATGCCAAGAATGTTATAAAGGACTCAGTAAAAAGCAAATTAAAGAAAGACACTCAAAAATTGAGTATTGAAAATTTGTTAATTCAAGATGAACTATTATGTAGCCATCAATGACAGGCTATTTACTGATTTCCTGAAACTAATGGAGCTTCAGATAGACAATGGTATCATATTCAAGTACAGTACCTGACATCCATCTACACATTTCATAGAAATTCTTCAAAGAAGCTCATAGAAATAAATGAGGTAGTAGAAATAATGGAAGATCACATCTCTAAACCCAGCAGAGTCAATGAAACAAGATGGAAACAGAATAAGCAAATTGCTCTTTCCAAATTTCTTGATAACTGAGCAAGCATAACTGTGCATCCTGGAAAACATTTTGGATGACAATTAGATGCCCATTTGTCTTTTATATTTTTCAACTTTAGGATGTTTTTAGAGAAATCAGCTAAGTCTCTCTGTTGTTTCAAAAAATGAAATTACTGCTTTAATTGCCTTGGCCAAAGTCAAAAGTGCACATACTATGTTTCTTTCATTGCAGGATGAGGAAGACCTTATGGACAGAAAGTTAAGGTGTACATGTTAGAATGGATAATGGAAAGGACACTCGCTAAACTAGATCTAACAGAGGACAAAAACAGATTGTTGTCAGCCACCAGCGATGCCTTGGACAAACGTCTTAGAGGTGACAAAACTGAGATAAATTTTACAACAAACATGTTTGGTCAAAAAATACTGGCCCGATCAGAATCTTCACCTTTATGATATAGAACAAGTTCAACATCTTACTATTCATTTCAGCACAATTTTGCACAAATATGGCTGTGAAATACAGACTGCTCTAGGTAAGTGGAAAGTAACGATGACATACATCAGGCAAACTAGCCATCTGTTTGTTGGATTTATCCACTGTCTGTGAAGCAGTGTATAAGCCAGGATGATTCTGAAATACGAGACTAAGAACATTATGAAAGCAGTGGCCCTCTGTAACATTTTTCTTTCTTTTTGTAAATGCCTTGTTTGCCACCTTCTTTTGGTGTCCCATCAAGTCATTTGATTATTTGCTAATGAAACACAGTTTTGAAAATAGCAATAATAAAAAGTTTAAATATGATTGGACAGAGCATATCATATTATACTCATAATAAATATATAGGTTTAAGTTTCTGTCAGTGTTCCTTTCATATGTAAATTGTGTAAGTATTTGTGTGTTAAATTATACCTGTTTGAAATTTCCTTCGATAAGATGACATCAGATAATTCGAGATAATGTAAATTTATACAGTTCAGAGACTAAGAAATGTCAAGATCTTAAACAAAAACTACTCAAAAATGGTTAACATATGAAACAAAGGTTAATTTGAAAAATTACTTAAATGAAAATAAGATTAATCCCACATTAGAATAATGCAGCTGTTTACAAAGTTATGAAACTAACACACTTCCATGTTTTTTGCTTTTACAGTGGAACATGTACCATGTTGTCAAGAATGACGTACTAAACAATTAATGATCCCATTGATTAATCAATTAGCAAATAGCCAGCTCTAGTGAACACAGAGAGAGTAAATTATATGCTGTTGCTGGTAGCTGCTCTGTGCTCACTTGCATCGAGTGACTGAACTATTTCAATATTGGCTTTTCTGTATGTTTTGATATTGGTCTCACTCAAAGCTGTTGTCTGATTGTTTCATTTGTTACTTTATCTATTCTGGTCTTATTGAAAGGTTTATGGAGGCATTTTATTTTATACCATTACCACTACCCATCTGTTACACATTCATGACAAAAGACTCATTCTGCTAAGACAAATGTCTACAAACAACTGTGGCAATAATAATTTTAACCAAACAGGTCCTGACTGAAAAATTACTTTATATTTCTCTAAACCACTTTTTTATTTGACTGTTTAATCTGTAATATCTCAGCACTACAATTTCTAACAGCTCCACCAAGTACTGTGTATAGTGAATATAAATTATCAAAGCCAGAAATATGTAATGCATAAGAAACCATATTTTGAACAAAATGCAGAGTACCTCCTGTTCTTACATCGAAACCTCAAACTCCTTAATTTTTAAGTATAGAACAAAGATATCTAATGAGAAAACTTAATACAAAAGTAAGCCTTGCATTATGCCTTCAATAAATGGTAATTGATAAGCTGTGTTATACTGAAATTAGTGTAGTTTTATATATAAGTGTAAAACAAAAAATACCTTAACCCACTAAATAATTGTTTATTAATAAGAAAACATCAGTATATGATAGGTTAGGTGATGGGAGGTAGAGATTGACTGTGTTTGTAGTAACTCTACTGACCCTCAACTGACTACACCTTTTCTTGCAAAAGTGAACAGAGTGTGACTATGTTTACTATCGGCATAATTTTCACACCTGTTACCCAGGAGAGCATGTTTTGTAATGAACCCAGCCACAGAATGTAAATTTGATAGGAACTAATGTCATGTACATAATGGTTGTAATGAATTTATATCAAAATAGAGTTGCATTTTAAATCTATAATTATGTTAATAATATTTGGCTTTCCCATTTTTAAGCCTCATCACCTTTTAATATGTAAAAAAGTGTTTATCAGACTGTAATGTAGAAGTGCCATATTACAGAGCAGACATCAGATAAAAGGGCAACTGTGCTCACTGTGGAGCAGTAGAAGCTAAGGCAGATCCAGAAGTAATTAAAAAATTCAAGACATTCCTTCCTACATTAAAAACTTTAAAACAAGGACTAAGCCTATAACCTATAGACCATATGGGAAGTAAATAAGTAAAAAAGGAGGAAAAACCAATGCATATTTGTTATATAAATAATAATAATAATAAAAAAAGAAGATATGAAATTAAAAAAAAAACTGAATGAAACTTAAATCTTGATGTGATAGAATGCATGCAAAATGTTCTTTAATTTCAGAATTGAGGAAAAATAAGAAAATTGTACATTTCACAAATACATCATTTACATGTATTTTGCCAATAGAGGCATAATTAGATACAGACTGGTGAAACAGTAGTCATAATAAATGATGCATTTGTGAAATGTACCAATGTCTTGTTTTTCTTAATTCTGTAATTATGGAGTTTCACAAAGTTTCAACTTAACTTATTAATGTTAATACTATCCTACATTAATAAATTTATCAATTGACCATCTGTGTGTTAGTTTATTATAACTTCCCATTTCTTGCTATGTATAGAAGATATTTGGTTATACTGATTTTGGTAAATATAAAAATTTCAACTCTTCAGATGCCAAATAGGTACTAATATCTGGTCAAACAAACAAATACCAAATGTCCACTACAATTCTAATTTCACCATTATGGACAGAATTAAGAAAAATAAAGAACTAAACTGACTGAAAACAATAATTGGAAAATATGAAATCTGTGGAAATGTTTGCACAGTATTGATTGCTGTCAGATAATATATATGGCTATATCAGTATATGTATTTATGACAAATGAAATGTTTCTAACTGTTAAGACTGTTGTAGTTCTCAGTAGATTGTAGGGGTTTAATCTCTGTTGAATACAGTACTAACAATGAATATTAAAAAATCTAGTTTATACTGGGCATAACGATCTGAAAGTAAACTGACTGTAGTTTATTTTAATATGATTACTGATAAAACTAGGAATACAGCAATACACTGCCACTTTACAAACTAATGAATAAGTACGGATTTTTTACACAAATATGTATCTTAGATGAATCTAAGTACACAATTCCTAACAATATTATTTGTTTCTTATGTATTTGTCACTGTTTTTTTCAGGATCTCAACAAATAATTATCATCAAAAAAAAAAGCTTTTACATTGGCAATTAAGCAATAAAGAATCCAATTTTCTGCCGGCCAATATTATTCAATCTGTGTTAACTAGTAAGTAGAACAAAGGTGAAAAAAAAAAAATTCAACTCTTAAAAATAGACTATACCATACTTTTAAGTGACTCCTTTTAGGAATCTTAAAACATTATGTATGTACATAAAAAACAAAATAATTTATCAAATTACTTGAAAGTGAACAAATCTTCCTATTTCATTTTTTCTCAAAAAACAACAACAACATTGAGTACTGTTGTCTCATTTGGTAAAAACTTACCATCTTTAGAGAAGCAGCTTGATTACCCATGAAACTTTTAGTGACTTGCAAACACAACAGCTTATGTAAGAATAACCAAAGAACACTTGACTAACTGTTCCTTTTGATGATTCCATGTATGCATGGGACATGTAATGACGATGTACAACATATGTACATGCAAAAAAAGTCTTGCTTACGAAAGTAAATTGATGTTTAAATCTCTACTAAGAAAACTTTAGATTGTACAAGTGGATATGCATCTGTCTAAAAATAGTCTGAAGTTGGCATATTATTCTGGCTGTTCTCCTTGGCAGTAGATGTGAATGTAAACAACTTACACTACTGGGAAAACAAAAAGCCAAGGGGAGTCCTACTCCACTTTTTTTTTTTTAATGCTTATGCTACAAAATCTGCTTCCACCAAAGTTCTAGATTAATTTTTTTTTAATCTTTCTTATTGTATTTTTGTTGAAGTTAAAACATCCCTGCATATCTAAGTTAATGACATAAAATAACAAAATAATTTTAAAAATTATTAAATACCAAAAAACTAAACTGTATTTTAATTATAATTATGCATTGTGTATAACATGATTAAAAGTATCTGCATCTAGTTATCAAATACAAGCTTAGAAAGTGTTACCTAGACCAGTGGTGTGCAAACATTTATTCTAAACATGCATTTTGTTGCTCCCACCTTCTTACGTCCCATATAACATATTTGTGTACATACTGTACATGTCATTTTCCCATGTTAATTGTTGTTACTATATTACTTAACAGTAGTAATATTTGTATAACAGTTTTTAAATGTACTTTATTTTTAAATGTGTACTTTCAGATACAATTTATATCCTCCTATAGTCATAAGTGCATGCCAACTCCTACTGACTCTCCATGCCCTCCACCTACAGTTGGCACACCAAGGACCTCTACCCAAGAAGCTACATGTTTCACAATGGGGAAAAACAGATTATCAGAAATTTTTAGAAATTAGTTGAAAACAAACAAACAATTATGTTTAAGTAAAATATTTTGAGAAGTTTTATTTTTTTTTCCTTATAAAAACACACTGAGATCTAAATATATTGTTTAGGACAATTTTGAATTCTGTTTTCTTTTAGGTTTCTGAGAATGGAGCAAATTTTATACCTAAACAAAAAGTCTTGATTCAACCAACATTATAACACAGTTTTAAGATGAATTTCTGGAGTAAATAGAAAAAATTTTAATACAGGTTATGCATACAGTAAGTAAAATTGAGTAGTTTTAAAACCTTTTCAACTTTTTTTTCTGCTGGAGTACTTTTTGCTTTAGTTGACTGAATTACAGAGAAGACTGTACGTTCAGAATAAGGACTAATCTTCTCCCTCTGCAAGTTTCCTTCTCCAGGAGGTATATTTTCTTGATTATCTGAAGTTTCTTCAGAAGCACTATTGTTCATAATCCTAGGTAAAGATATTTAATATTTCTTTGTAAACTTTTAAATATAGTTACAGTATACTTTATTCATATACAGCCTACCACTAAAATGGTAACATTTATTTTCATAATATTAAGCTTAGAATTGAAAGACATGACTTCCATGTTTTTAATTTATAACCAACTATCTTTAAAGGCCATACATGAAGACCTTTGTTGCATAATTCCATGTTATTATTTCAGAAGCTTCGAGCTAATATGCTAATACTGAATTTTATTATGTTTAATCTAATGCATGATACACTGTCACTTGATACTTGTACCTTTATGACAAAGATTTTGCATCATTCCAGAATTATCTAACATTGCTCTATCAAGTTGAGTGAAATCTTTTAAATAAAGTTGCATTTAAAGGTTGTATGGTGGAATCTAAAGGATAACAAAACCTTTCAGTTCCTCATTTATTACATGCTGGAGAGGATTATGGGAGTCTTTAAAAACCGTGAAATGCACTGCAAATACTAAGTACTAGTACTATGGCTTCTAGTAGACATTTGAGTTATCAACTTGTGGTTTCTTTGACTAAATGTTAAATAAAAGATCCAAATTAAAAAAAAACAGTAAAGACTTAGGAAAAAATTGAAAAAGATCAATATTATATTAACTATTAAGACAATAAAATCCTTTGTTGAACTAATCACAAAACTACAGTAATGTCACATTAGGGTTGAATAGTCAATCAACTGATATTATTTGTCCACTAGTTTTGATTACTTGATTATTTTCATGACAATTGATATACTCAGAATTTCAATCAATTGATTGTTGGAATAATCAAAAACACTTATCTTGACTAAATGTAATGTTGATTAGTTTACATCACACTCAATGTAATTGGTGCTCATAGGTAATCAATTATACCCATTAAATCACCCAACTCTGTTCCTGCTATATAACATGTGAATGTCAGATAGCCTGTAGAATACAGCAACAAGTAACTTTCTAAACTTTATTTCAAGAACTTCAGCCTAAACAAAATTCATGTTTTTAAAATATCATTGATATCACCTTTCTCAAAATCTTCCAGCTCACTTCTAATAAGTAATATTGCCTCTCCTCTTCTTTTATCATCCCAATCTTGCCATGATGTGAATTCCATTGGTTTTGTGCAGGGTGTTAGATACTTGTGAAGAGTGACTTGAATATTATTTTTTAACTTAAACTCTATACATCTTTTGTTGTAAATCATGACTGTAACCAAAGTCAAATGTACATTACTCTGTTTAACATTTTATCATATTAGTCTAGATCAATGGTTTCCAAACTTTTTTCACCGATGACACCCTAATCCACTTACCTTGATTTGCACGACACCTCTGCTGTTACATGCATACATTTCTTATGTTCTCAATTATTCTTCATTCAGTGAAACTCTTATGACACCACTAAGAACCTACCATGATACAGTTTAGAAACCACTAGTCTAGATAATATTAAAAATGTTGGGTGACTATTAGTCATACTTCACTCGTATAAATGTATATTTGCTGGTCTCATTTTCCCCTCCATTCTAAATGGATTTTTGATTTATTTTATTAACCAACTCAAATATGACAATATTATATCTTGGTAAAAATCAATAACCAGTATTCAACAGCTCTGAACTTAAAAAAAAAGAAGAAAAAAACTATCAACCAATGACAACCACACATTAATGCTGTAGGTTATCTATATTAATTAATAAGTTATATGCCTAAAGTTACTTTAGTAACTATGAAACCTTTGTTAAAAAATTTGATTGTGAAACTTGATTAGTCCTAAAGAACTTTTTGGATTTCAGGTTCATTTCTTATCAGTGAAGTTAACATTTAAAAGTACTACTTGACAACTAAGCTATTTTACTTAAGACTGATAAACAGTAACAACACAACTCCAATTAGCCTGTGAGGTACATGTAATTCAGTGTAATAAAATAATGTTTTTACCCTTTTGTGTTTGCAAGTATTGCACACTTTCTTATGATTTCGTTAAGTTAGGTGATCTTATTATTATTAAATTACTTATGAAACAGTTAATTAGCATATACTGTGACTCTTATAATAATTCCAGCAGAGGAATCAAATAGCTAATGTGTATATACATTTTCTCAGGGCCTTCCTAATCAACAAAAACCAAAAAAGAAATGGATTCTTTCAGCTACTGTACCTGAAAGAGATGCTAACTGTAATGAATAAATACAAGTACAATTTAAATAGATAAAATAGTTATCAAACACATAATTAATGCTGAAAGGACTGAAAAGCATTTTGTTACATATAAAATACTGTACTTCCATCCAAGCCATACTATGAGGAGTTGCTTTTCATAATGCCTACAATTTAATTTCCTTCTTCTTGATTGGGAAAATGGAAAAAATTTGGTAAAGAAATGAATCTTGGGCAAATACTTATACTAATATCTAGCAGGCTTTTCCTCAGAAATCTTGACTTTTTTTTCACCTTTCTATTATTGATAACTTGGCTTAATGTAAGATGGTAATCCTTTATCTATTGTTTATGTTTATATTAACATAATTTTTATTGCTCAACTGAGCTTTCTTTTGAGTTTATCTACAATACCAGCTCACACCCCATTGAAGTTAACAGAATACTATTATCACAGTGAGACAAAATACCAATCCTGGGCAGCACAAAGGTATTGGTCAAGACAGCTAAAGTCACATGGTTGTACATAAATTAGTATGTCACCCTTATGTAAACAAGTTAATTTCTCATTTGATGATTTGGTGGCAAACTAAAGCCAGTGCAAAAAGAAATGAAGACTGAAACACTAGATGTTTAAGAATATAAATTTTAATTTGGATATTGCTTTTATCTCAGAAGTGCTGTGACTCATGTGAAGTATAACTATTAGTGAATAATTTATGTTTCTACTTTCTGGTTTTTTTCCTGGCTTCTTCTGTCAAGGTGATATTGGTGATTCTCAAGTTGTGTGAAGATTACATTATTGAATTAAATGTGCTTTGGTAACATCATTATTTAAGTTTTAGTTCACTGAACACTTTCAAGTTAAGATTTAGAAAGATAAGTAAACTAATAATGTTACTTAGAATAGATTTAGAAGTCAGGAATCTTAGGTTACAACTAACAATAACATATTCAAAATATTAAAATTTTATACAGAGTTGACTAAGTGAAGGCTAAATATCTATGATTGGTAGTCGTATGATTCTAAATAGGAGTTTGAAGATCTGAAACTTAAAAAAAAAAGTATTAAAAATTTGCCAAAACTAAAAGCCATACTAGTTAGTAAGCTAGGAGTAACGTTATAATGATTATTTTTAAAGCTCTGTTTACTATTTTAAGTTTAAATCAATGGCAAATAATTATTGGCACTATAACTTGTACAAGTTATAACTTTATTTAAATTAGTTACGTTGCACCAACGTTAGAAACTGATAAGTTATAAATTTTAATAAGTAACGTTACTGTCGTTAGATTGTTACTAGTCTATGTTACTGTTAATATTACAAACTAAGTTACCGTAAAAAATCACACATTCATTCATATTTTCGGCTAAATGTTACATTACAACTAACGTCAAATAAATTATGCGTCAATAAGACGTAAGCTGGAATTAATATTACTAATAGTATTATTATTATTAGTATTACCACTGTAACTTAATTAAGATTAAAAACTAAGTCATCAACTGCATTGAAGTTTAACGAATCAACTTACTTAAGTGAAACATAAACTTAAAAGATCAGACCAATGCGATCACATTCATAACAATTAAAAAACAAAATTACTCACTTTTTTAAAACTAAACTGTTTCTAGGAAAGTGCAACCTCCTTATTTCCGTAATTTGATTCAATCTGAGTTCTACAACTTACAATTTAAGGAATCACTTGTGAAACCGCAATACTATAAATCACTAGCACTTTTTCAGTTCTAACACAACTTCTGTTTTAATCACCGTTAGCGCTTTTATCAGTTTGAAAACAAGCGTCTGGAACTTGACACAAACCTCTTTTGTGCGCATGCACGAACTACCTCATCTACGGGTTCTTAGAATCACAAATAAAATAATTTTTAACTCAGTTTTTCAGTTACATTAAAAGCATTTATTTTTTCATGAAAAATAACCAAGTTTTAAGATTCAAATTAGATAATTGTTTGGTTTATCATTTAAATCTTAAACCTTTTTGAGTTAAAAATTATTTTTTCACGTAATAATAGTGTTGGAATGTAATGCATTAATACATTTCGTCCAATCGTTACAGTTATTTGTTAACTTTTCATATAATAATTATGATGTGAAATGTTTTATAAGCTGTCGAAGCATAATTAGAATTCGTTCACTATACTTTCCATGAGACACTAGTAGTTGGCTCATTATAATTTTCACATTACATCTTTTATTGAGTATAATATAAATATATATATAAAGCAAAAAATAAAAAAAAATATCTGTGTTTGTCAATCTGTTATCTAACTACTCATAAGTCGCTGGGCTAATCTCAACCAAACCTTGTAAGATGATAGTTTGGAACAAAGGGCATGTTAATGGTGGGATCACAACGCCCCCACCCCATTATTGCTGTTATCGAGCATTTATTATCTTTGACGTAAGTTAACGTTTACTACAGTCACAGATGGCGCCACTTCTTTACACACACAAAACTATTTAATTTTCTATAACACAACATATGTGTGGGGGGACGGTCTTATATATATATATATATATCAGAGAATGCGCTTGCACTCTCTATGGAGGAATGCAATGAAAACAAAATGGCCGCCACTATTGTAATAATACATAAACTCAGTTAAAGTTTATACTCCAATAGACAGCATAAGGTTGATATGAAGAGCCATTTATTGAGTTATACCCACTTCCTAATTTGATCCGTGATCTTTCAACTTCGGCCCTTCAACAGCCAATGACCGTCAATTAATTAATCATGTAAAACACTGGGGAAAGACATTAATAGCTGGGTGTTGAAAGTGGGTAACAGAAAGCCCCCCTACCACCACTATTTGGCCACTACCTCTTCCTACAAAGTCACCTTGACCATCGAACAGTGTATACCATGTTTTAAGTATATAAATATTGAGTTATTAAAGCTTATACACAACTTTCGGTGAGATAATAATGAACACTGTAATAATATGTTATGTTATAAATAAATTATGTGAAAATTAGAATTTTTGTGTTATTTATCATAGCATCCACCCACACATTTTTTCAATCTTGTTTCAATAGCTTAGAAAACGTTTTCACACCATATAATTATTTTAGCTTAAAAGTAAATGTTAATTTACCCAACACAGCACACTAATCTTTTGAAAATTTATAATAATATTAACTGTTGCAAAGTTTTTAAGTTTTGTTTTGAAAACATTTTGTATACAAGGTCAAATTAAGTGTAGACCTATCATGACTAACAGAAAACTTTGCACTACAGCAGTATGTAACTTGTAAAGGTGTAACAGAATTATTGTTGACTTGTGTGTGTATTTTGTTACAGCAAATCCACATTGGGCTATCTGCTGTGTCCACCGAGGGGAATCGAATCCTTAATTTTAGCATTATAAATCTGAAGACTGTCCCACCGGATGACTATTGTTGACTTAACAATTTACATTCCATACTACTTTTCTTTTGAACTCTGCTACTTAACTGGAAATGAAAAAGGTTTCTAAATGAACGAGTTTTGAAAGGAATTCTATTATCATTTTTCAAACTATTTGCCATCTCTAACTCCACTAAAAATTTTTTTTTCTCCCCACAGTTTACACCGACATTTTCCATGGAGACATACAGTAATATTGTGTTTGGTTGTGATATACCTTAATTCCCCTCAAAGAAGACACCCCAGTGGCCAAGCGGTACGTCTACAGACTCACAATGCTAAAATTTGGGTCTTGATACCCATGGTAGGCAGGGCATAGATAGTCCATTGCATAGTTTTGTGCTTAATGACAGCCAAACCCTAAGAGAACCTAAGGGAATTGCAAGATAAGGAGGATTTATCAGGTACTTATATTACAGAGCAAAGCCCACATTTTCTCTGTATTTGACTGAGACTTTACACACAAGAAACAGACTGGATCTAGGGTGTAAACAAACACACTTAAAAACCACATTCTCATGGGACTGATGTTATGAAAACTGTCAACATTCTTTGTATAGCACTATAAAATTTAAGGCAAAAGTCTTGAAGAGAAAGATTTCTGTTATTTGCAGCAACATGTTTGAATTGGTCAAATGATGCCCTCTGAATCTGTAATTCTTTGATAAAATTCTATGACCCTATTCAGACCGTCAATACCATACTCCTGCAAACCTTGCACATCTCTTGGTATTGTTTTGGGATTAAGCAATCTTTCAGGTCTTCACCACTGTCATGTCATCTTCAGGGAAATGCTTTTCAAATTCTATCTCTAAATTGTTGAGGAATGTACTATAGGCATTCCATTAAAATCTTTATTTACATTGTTTGGATTGTTCAAAACCTGGTTGAGTTCCTCAATGCTTGTCAACTAAACTGTTTGGAAGTGTTGGATACATCTCCTAGTTGTATCTAACATAACACTTATTTGATCAGTATCAATAACATCACATTGAAATATTTTGCTTAATCTAATCACACTGGATAACACATATTTTAGCAAACAAAATGTTGCTAAAAACTTATAACTTTGTATGTTGGCCTTAAGACCTCTGGTCTTTGCAGCCCAATCCTTCTGATCTGTGACTTCATAATCAAGACAGGTATAAAACTAAAAGACCTCCATACACTGCATCAACTGCTTCAAACATTGAGAGTAAAAAACTTGAGTAGGTTTTTTTAAACCTTATAACATGAACATTCATTATTTTGGTTAGTTCTCTAATTTTGTTGTATCATGGTGCAGAATAACTGTAAAAAATAAATAAATTCCAATCATAATTTCTTGCACATATTTCATAAAGGGAATTTATTTGTAGCCCAGTGGGAAAGTAATGAGAATCTATGAGCTGTACACACCTCACATGTATGATTTTAGGATTATCTGCCTTCAGACTTACACAACTTTACCCCATCTACGCATCATAACATTTGCTCCATCTGTCCCCAAACCAAAGACTTTATTCACTGGAATACCAAGACCTTGCCAAAAAATGCAAAATAGCATCATAAACTGATTCAGCTTTACCATCTTTAACTTCAATGTTGGCACAAAAGGACCAATTTTTTAGTAACAGCTATAACCAAACTTTCATCCATCAATACACCCAGATAAGGAGTTCCCCTCAACATAACTCTCATTTCCTTCTGGTAAAAATCAGCCAGACATCTCTGCATTTCTGAACATACCTGATTGCTAGTGTATACATGTCTTTTTTTCTGCACATACAGATACTTGGTTGGCAAGCTGAATTTACCACAAAAACAAAATGTTATCTAGCATCCATATAATTGATATATACACATAAAAGACAAAATTTGTCAAAACTTTTACAACTATTTCCAATTGGCATTCTCAGCTGATTGAATTATACATACAGACTTACCTATATATAAATTAATGAAGAAAATATAAAGCATAAAAAGTTCTCCACAGTACTTCATTAAAATTCATGCACAGATATGCAAACATACAAACAATAGTCAATAGACTCTTGCATAATACTTTAAATTACTTTGTAAAAAAATGGCAAAAGAATGACCTACTCTGCAAACTTGA